GCGCTCATGGTTTACATAGGGGAGTGGGCCAGCCCACTCCCCTATGTAAACCATGCCAGAAATCTTGCCGCGGCAAGCTTTCTGGTATGGTTTACATAGGGGAGTGGGCTGGCCCACTCCCCTATGTAAACCATACCAAATATTTTGCCGCGGCAAGATTTCTAGTATGGTTTACATAGGGGAGTGGGCCGGCCCACTCCCCTATGTAAACCATATCAGAAATTTTGCCGCGTCAAGATTGCTGGTATGGTTTACACAGGGGAGTGGGCCGGCCCACTCCCGTATGTAAACCATATCAGCAATCTTGACGCGGCAAGCTTCCTGACATGGTTCACATACTTAGATGAATTTTGGTTTAAACTTGAGTTAGCTAGATATACATAATCATAACCTCTACACAAACATGTATAAGCCGCACATCCACTCTTATAACATCTTAATAACAGCGACTACCAAATATAACGTAGACCCAATCACTTGCAACATCAACATAAGCACGTATAACATCACACAAAGTTTTGATTTGTTTAGCATGACTTACCGTGCTTGTAAACGTTTATGGCTTGTGATATAAGTTTATCTTGCTTTGTCAATTCAAGTTAAGTTCATGTTAAGCGAAAAACCTCGCTCGAGTTAAACTTTACCTTGGTTTACTTTGTTTTAACATAAACCTTTACTAGAGTATGCTAAATGTTGAATTTGCGCTAACATTGGTTAACATGAATTAGAAAACATGCGTTTTCATTGTGGATGCTGCACCACGTTACTTTTTCATGATCGGGATTTTGTTTTTGTGAGTTTCGTTTGCGCAGCGTTGTATATGCATGAACATATTTTGTTGTTTTGTTTTTTGCACCACGTTGTATATTCATGATCTGATTTTTTGAGTTTTTTGCACCAAGTTATACATGCATGATCAGATGTTGTTTTTTTTATGTTGTTGCTTTGCACCACGTTGCGGCTTCACGACCAGAGTTTTGTTTCATACATGCATGTGGTTGCATTTTGGTTGTTTGTTTGCACAACGTTGTACGGTATGTTGTTTTTGAGAATGGCTTGGTTTTTTTTGAGCAGCGTTGTAGTTTCATGACCAGGGTTTCTTTCGGATTGCAGGTTTTCTTATTTCGATTATGTGTTATTTGTAGTTTCTTGGTTGGCGTTTCCTAAAATGACGAGGGGGTGAGTGGGGGTGCTGATGAGAAGGAGGAAGGGCGGAAAGATGATTAGGTGGAAGAGGAGGGGGAGAAACGGGGAAGGAGGAGGAGGAGGAGGAGGAGGTGCGACCGCCGAGCTGCAGCTCGCGCGCGATCGTTCATCCTCGCACGCGCACCCCTTTCGTGCACGGAGCTCTGGTATGGATCACATAGTGGAGTGGGCCGGCCCACTCGCCTATATGACAAATACAGAAAGCCTCCGCGGCCGGATTTCTGGTATGGTTCACATAGGGGGGGCCAGCCCACTCGCCAATGTAACCAGAACAGGAAAACCTCCGCGGCCGGATTTCCGGTATGGCTCACATGGGGGAGTGGGCTGGCCCGCTCGCTTATGTGACCAGTACAGACAGCCTCCGCAGGAGGATTCCTGGTATGGTTCACATAGGGGAGTGGGCCGGCCCACTCGCCTATGTGAGCGGTACAGAAAGCCTCCGCGGCTGGATTTCTGATATGTTTCACATGTGGGAGTGGTTTCGCCCACTCGCCTATGTAGAACACATGCTGAACCTTCTCGGCCGTGCGGTACTTATGGATACGGATGTATCTAAGCCTCTGTTCGGTTTATGTGTGAAAGCGGGTGTTTGTGTGAATGCCTACACTCGCATATACATACAAATATGCATAGTTGTATGCGTGTAAGCGCATGTGGATGCATGTGAATGAATATGTATTTTCGAGTGTATGTGTGAATGAATGTGCGAATGTGCGTGCGCACGCACTTAGATGTAGAAGGCAGGTCCGCGTCGCGTCGACCCCGGCGTTGGTTGCCGACGCCGCGCGGATCGTTCAACCTTGAACGATCGGCGGCTCCCCCAACGACAGATCTTTCGACGTCGAGCGATTCTGGGCCGCCGCCGGCGCTCAACGTTGAACGCCGGCGGCGGGGTCGCCGCCGGTCGACACGACGCGAACCTACCGTATGAGTGTTGTGGTATGCTTACACATATGTGTGCATATGATTGTGCGCGCGCGGATTGGCAGACTTTGTCCATGGCAGTGCATGTATATGTATGCGTGTACTTGAACGGGCGGGCCTGCCCATGTTTTACGTACGTATATGTGTGTATACATGCATAGAAATACGTTTGTACATATGTGTATATGTACACATGTAAGCCGGAGCCTAGTATACATCAACTTTTGAAGATATGTCAGCAATACGTGCACTTTGCACCCGCTATAAATTTAGCTGGGCACGCGGACATCATCACCATCATCATCATCATCGTCGTCGTCGCCGTCGTCATCGTCATCATCGTCCGCATCGTCACCATCATCATCATCATCATCATCCCTCCTCCTCCTCCTCCTCCTCCTCCTCCTCCTGCTCGACGCCACCTCCTCGAAGAAGATCCCTGCTCCTCCTCATCCTCCCTTTCCTCCCCGCTTCAATCTCCCGCTCCTTCTCTTCCTCCACCTTCTCCTCCCTCCCCTCTTGTCCTCCTCATCCTCCGCCACGCTTCCCTCGTCCGTCCTGAGCATCCATTCCCGAGCCCGAGCCACTTTGGGGTTCTCGTGGGCCGTCTCGGATCCTCAGGGGTCGCGTTGCCGCCACCCCCGGCCACCCCCTCCCAGGAGCCCGCGGGGGAGGGGGTTTCCGTCCCAGCCGGTTCTGCTGACGGTCCCAAGGCCCTGTAAGGAGCCTTCGGAATCCGAAAGCGGCTGAAAACCTCCCGTCATGATTTTCGTTCGCGGCGCGGCGAGGTGCTCTTCCTTCCAAGTCGTTTTTGGGTCACGGCCCTGGGGCCCTCTGAGGGCCCCCGGAGGCCGAAAACGGCCGAACCTCTTGTTCGCGGTGCGACGAGGCCTCGTCGCCCCGCTGGCCCGCTCGACGCGACGACGACGACGACGACGGCGGCGGCGACGACGACGACGACGACGACCACGACGACGACGACGACGATGACGACGACGACGACGACGACGACGCCCGAGCGTCGTGCCACCCCCGGAGGGCGACACGACGCTCGGGCGCTCGGCCCGCATGGAGGGTTGCCGCGGGGGCAATGCGGTGCCAGGGCGCCGCGAACCAACGGGCGGGGAAGACAGGCACGGCGGCGGGCATCGAGGTTCGAGGAAGTTTTCGGCCCTGGGACCGTCGCACAATCGATCCGGGACCAACAAACTGCGTCGGATGCACCCCAGGAGGGTTCTGGGCACCGATTTTGCGCGGATTTCGTTGACTTTGAAAAGGGGATGCACGCCGAGGTTCGAAGTTCGACTCTCGCGGATCGAGGTTCGAGGCTTCCTGGCCCTGGGGCCCCCCTCGTCGCCGCGGTCGGGCGCAGCTCGAAAAACTTTTGCGCTTGGACCCCGAAAGGGTCCGGGGACCCATTTTGAGGCTGGGGCCCGCAGGCCCTGGAGGCGGCGGGAAAGGCGGCGGCGGCGACGGCGGCGGCGGGCGGGGGGCGGGGGCGGCGGCGACGACGGCGGCGGCGACGACGACGGCGACAGCGGCGGTGGCGGCGGCGACGACGGCGGCGGCGGCGACGGCGGCGGGCGGCGACGACGGCAGCGAGGGCGACGATGGCGGCGGCGACGGCGACGACGACGGCGGCGGCGGCGACTGCGGCACCGACTGCGACGACGACGACGACGACGGCGGCGGCGACGGCGGCAGCGGGCACGGCGACGGCGACGGCGACGTGCATGGCAGCGGCGACGGCTACGACGACGACGCCGCCGCCGACGACGACGACGCCGACGCCGACGCCGACGCCGACGCCGACGCCGACGCCGACGCCGACGCCGACGCCGACGCCGACGCCGACGCCGACGCCGACGCCGACGCCGACGCCGACGCCGACGCCGACGCCGACGCCGACGCCGACGCCGACGCCGACGCCGACGCCGACGCCGACGCCGACGACGACGACGACGACGACGACGACGACGACGGCGACGACGGCGACGACGGCGACGGCGACGGCGACGGCGACGGCGACGGCGACGGCGACGACGACGACGACGACGACGACGACGACGACGACGACGACGACGACGACGACGACGACGACGACTGGGGATTCCCAGCTCCCGTATGCACCTATTGGGGATTCGGAGCTCTCGACGCACGCACAGCCGAGGCTACGGGCCCGACGTGGCCAGGCCTGCAAAAGATTGCAAACGGACACCAGTGTCAGCGATCATCGGTTCAGGGGATTGATCCTCGACTTCGGCTTGTGAAGGCCGGCTTCGGACTCCGGGGCCCCCAGAAGTCGATCCCGGACGGGAAACTGATCCGAATGCACCCTGGCAGGGGTCTGGGGACCGATTTTGAACCGATTTGGGACCGACTCGTCGTCGTCGTCGTCGTCGTCGTCGTCGTCGTCGTCGTCGCCGACCAGGAGGGGATTGCGAACCCCCCAATTCGCGGTGGCCCCGCTGACGGGCGCTGGCGCCCAAAGCCAGTGGACCTCGAAACAGCATCTCATCATGCTCTCCCTCCAGTGGACTTCCTCCTTCCATGCTCTTCCTGATCATCCTCCCCTCTTCCCCCGATGACGACGATGATGACGATGAGGAGGGTGGTGGTACTGATGATGACGGGCTCATCATGATCATCACCATCATCATCATCACCATCATCATCATCTTCTTCACCACCAACACCAACACCACCATCACCCTCCACACCATCGTCACAATCATCATCATCATCATCATCATCGCCCTCGTCCAATGCCATCACCATCGTCATGATCATCACCACCATCATCAGGATCCATCACCGCAGGGGGCTGATTTCCAAAGCCCCGTTGGCAGGAACAGAAGCCCCGTTGGCAGGAACAGACGTTTTTTGGACTACCTTAGAGTGATGCATCCCGACGCGGCCGTCTTCCTGGTGCAGCTTCCAGATCGGTTGGACCCTGAGCTGACTAAGGCCTACCTTAGTACATTGATGGTGCGGCATGACGAGCTCTCCACCTTCGGGGCGGATGGTGTGCTGATGGAGCTGGCGGGTGACCCTGGGGGACTGCACCAAAGGTTAAGTTTGGAGCTGCAAGAGAACGCCGCCATCCAGCTGCGCGTGCAGGCACATAGAGGCACATTGATCCATGGACTGCCATCTGCCATGCAGATCAAAGGCATGGAGGACGAGTTCCGCAGTTTGCTCTGGGATGCCATCCCAGATCTGCTGATGCCCGATTTCGCGCCTCTGGACGACCGTCTCCTGGAATGTGGGAATCGGGTTGGGGATTTCCAGCTCGTGCGCCAATACCCAGATCACCAGCACGTGTCGATGGCGGTGAACGGGCAGCATGAAAACGCAGTGATCAAAGTGTGCGACAAGCGCAGCGTCACCGATGTCAAGGAGGTGGAGAGCATATACCAGGAATTCTGGTTATTGACGCACACCCTCGACCACCCACACATCATCCGTTGCTTAGGCATGTTGCACAGTCAGTGTAGTGTGCATTTGGTTCTCCAGTATGGTGGAGACATGTGCATGGAGCAGGTGTTGTCGACTCAACCTGGGTACCGCTTGTTCAGGGACGACGCCTTGGATTGCAGTGCCCAGATCGCCAGTGCTCTGTCCTACTGCCACGCCCAGGACGTCGTCCATGGGCAAGTGTCTTTGAGACACGTGGCTGTACAGACAACACTGAATCGGCACATCTGCCGCCTTGTGGATTTCAGCATGGCAGCCCACGTTCCATTTTCCAGCGCAAGGGGGACTCTGTGCGGATCTCTGCCGTGCGTGGCTCCAGAGGCGGCGCTGAACGAGCCGTACTTGCCTAAGCCAGCTGATTGTTGGAGTCTTGGGGTGCTGTTCCTGGAGACCGCTTGCGGGCAGGGTTCGCTCAAACTGTCGGTCCGGTGGCGCCGTGGCGAGTCCCTCGCATACGCCGCGCGGCAAGTACTCGAGTTTTTCTCCCATGCTAGTTGCCACACCGAGGCGATGACGAAGATGGGTAACTCAGTCGACGGCGTAACACTGGCGTGCTTGGAGGCGGTGTTGAAGCCCGAACCAGCTCGCAGAACGAGCGCTTCCGACATGGTAGGGATGTTATCTATTGGGCGCGCCGAGCAGGTCAATTTTGATTGATTCGTTGTTGGTTGCCTTTGCACTCGCGGCGCGCGTGCAGGAGCGCATGCAGCTCACTTGTTGTGCGCAGGCTTCTTGCATCAAGCTTCTGCCCCTGAAGCTATTCTTAAGCGGTCCTGGAGCCCGTTGTGGGCCTTCGGACGCCGAAATGCCAAATGACCGCTCGTCGTGGTTTAGCCCCACCCTCCTACGTCCTACGTTGACTTGTTGTTTTGGGTAAAGCACGGCGGTCGCACACTCCTCCTCTGCCCGTCTCCCTCTTGTTCTCCACTCCTCTCCTGCCTCTTAACTCGCTCCTTCCTGCCTGCCAGCCTGCCTTCTGCCCCGCCATCCCACGTGATCTGGCCATGCCTGGGGCCCTGCGAGCTCCCAAACCGTCGCCACGTCCGAGGGCTGCTGGGAGGTCTAGCAAAGCGATGACAACGCAGGTTCAGGTCAGACTGAGCCAGCTGTTTGTTGGAGTCTTGGCGTGCTGCTCATGGAGACCGCTTGCGGGCAGAGTTCCCGCAAGTTGTCGGTCCAGTGGCGCCGTGGCGAGTCCCTCGCATGCGCGCATGCAGGAGTGCATGCAGCTCACATATTTCATTCGCAGGCTTCCTGCGTCAAGTTCTGCGCCAATTGTCCTCCCCCTCCTCCTCAGCTGAATTCGTCCACGCGGCAGGCCAGCCCATTGGGGGGAGAATACGAGTGAGAATACGGGTATGAGTATGAGTGCTGGGGCCGTGGTGCTAAGCAGCGTCTGTGGGCGGCTTCGGGTGCTCTTGCCCCCTCGTCTTGCAGGTCCTCTTCTGGCGCTGTTCGGTCCCGCCCGCGCCCTCCAGACGACGGCAAGGAGGCCGAAGGACAGCTGTAGAGCCCCCTTCCCAGCAGTTGGATGCAGCTGGGAAGCTGGGACGCCTACCCCAGCAGTTGCGGAGGTGCGGCTCTCTGAGAACCATCAGCTGGTCAGGGTGTTGTTCTCTGCTTCATTATTTGAGGGTCGCGTAGCCGATGTGCGCAGGTGATACTCACCCCCCGCTCATCTGACTGAATGCCAGGCTGACCAGCGTTTGTCAGTTCTGGATGGGGCGGCTTTTTGAGATTTGCATCATTTGCGACCTGACTCAACGACGCGGGGTTGGGCAGTTGTCCCAGATCTCTGGCGCTACCTCGTTTAAATGGTGAGTGAGTCTGAGTGTGAGTGCGTATGAGCATGAGCGAGTCTGAGTATGAGTATGAGTGAACCTGAGTGTAAATGAGTCGGAGCACGATTGAAAGAGGGAGCAGGCGGTGGGAAGGAGACATCTGTATCGAACTACTAACTCTCATTTCGTTCTCTAACGATAACACCCTCATACTTTGGGTATGGGCGGCCATGAGTAGGAGCGGGTCGAGTTTGAGTGAGTCTGAGTGTGAGTGTGCGCCTAGGCATCGAGAAAGCCAACGGCGAGCCACCGTCGCCCCTTGAGCGCTCGGCCAGGGTGCTGCCGAAAGACGCCGTTGTGGGGGGGCCTCCCTGGGCCGTGCGGCTGGCCTGCTCGGGCGCTTCAGAGGCGTGTGTTGAGGGCTTCTCGGGCCGCCTTGGAGGCCTGTTCGGTCTTTCTTGGAGAGGAGGAGGAGGAGGAGGCGGCGGAGGCGGAGAAGGCGGAGGAGGCGGAGGCGGAGAAGGCGGAGGAGGCGGAGGAGGAGGAGGAGCAGGAGGAGGAGGAGGAGGAGGAGGGCCCCCTCGGAGGCCGCTTTTGGGCCAACGGCATCTGTGGCGGGGCAACGGGGGGTGGCGGATCCAGTGGCAGCCTATTGCCCATCCCGCCACCGTGCCGGCGTCGTGCGCAGGAGGCCTCGTGGTGTGCCTCTTGGGGGGGCGCCTCGGGGACCTCTTCTGGGCCCTCTTGGAAGCCTCTCAAAGTCCTCCCGAGGGCCTCTTGGGGACGTCCCGCGGGCTTCTTGGGAGCCTGCTGGCGGTCTCGGCGGCCATCTTGAGCTGGAGGGTCTACGTGGGAGTTCGAGTTCCCCCGCCTGGCATCTCCTGGGGCCCTTTTAGAGGGCTCTTGGGCACCTCTTTGATGATTCAGGAGCCGTCTGCGATAGGTGTGGGCACCTCTTGGGCCGTCTTGATCGCTCTTCACACCGAACAGCCGAGAACGCGAACATAGAAGTCTTGAGTTTGCCGGTTTAGGCCTCATGGGCCAGCTCCCCACGGCCCACAAGGCGATTCAAGAGGCCGCCAATAGATGCCCAATAGTGTCCCGTGGACACGTGAGCAGTATGGACTCGCAAATCACGCGCCTTGGAAAAGTCATGTGGGGAGCCCTGACAACGCCAACCAGCGCCCAAGAATTCCAGGAGTGCAGGAGGGGGCCTTTCAACACATACTATCCCGCAGTCGTGGACAACAATAAGGGGGCGGTGGGTCGTCGGCAGTCTGCGAGGCTCTGAAGAAGCTCGCCGCAGGCGCCAATTTTTTCGTTAAGGCAATGTGGGTGGGTCGCGAGTGCGTCGCGGGCGAGGACGACGACAGCAACGCAACAGCAGCAACGCCACAATAACAACACCAACAACAACGACGACGACGTCGACGACACGATGACAACAACAACAGGAATAGCAACAACAACAACAACAACAACAACAACAACCTCAACAACGACACCAACAACAATTACAACAAGATGGGCGGGCTGGACGACATGGGCGAATCAAACGCACGTTCGGGCCTGCGGCGGCCGCCCGGGACGGTCAGGGCACCCACAAGGCGCGCGCTCGCCGTCGACGGCGGGGCGCGGCTGCGGGAGAGCAGCCCGAGGCGAGGAGGCCCTCCCCCCACGAGCGATGCCCTGGCAGACTGGGCCAGTTTGATTGCCGCCAGTTTCCGTCGATCGCGTGCGGATCCAGGGTGCGACGGTGATAACGTATCATTGTGCAGGCAGTTGCACGTCTCGTGGAATATGTTGCGGCGTTTATTTCCGTGTTTTGCGTCGTGAATTCTTGTTATCCGTGTCGCGCCTCCGTCTACTCACTCCTTCCTCCTCCTCCTCCCTCCTTTTCCATATCACGATCAGAATTATCGCGATGTGACAGGCCTCGCACTTGGGCAACACAAGGGGGTGCCGCCAGGGGATAATTAGGACACTTACCGGTTCGTGCCCAGATTGTGGGGATGTCTCCAGCGGTTCGCTTGTTTCACGGATGTAGGCGCGTCTTTTTCAGGGCCGCGTGGTGTTCGCGATGTCGCAACAAACGTTGCTGGGCGCCACAATGGGGAGCGAAAACGGGGTGGGACATTTGCCCACTTGCGGTCAGCATTCGGGGATATCTCACGCGAGACGTTGGCTTTTTGAGGTGGGTGTGCTTTTTTTCAGGGCCGCCACGAAGGAAGCGAATACTCGGATCAGTCCCGGCAGTCGCCGCGGTATTGGGAAAACCGTCGGATCGATTATTTCGTTGTCGATTTTTTTTGGCGCGTACCGTTCAAACCTTCAGGGTGGCCCAGTGTTGGCAAATTTTGCGCGGTGGTTGCACGACGAAGGTGGGCGCACCATAGAACCCTTCACGACAGCCCATCGTTGTAAAGATTTTCGTCGCGGTTGTAAGACGAGCACGCGCACGGTGATCGCGCGCATTTAGGTGTTCACATTCGTTATGGCGCTCGCATGTGGTTCGCTGGACGTAAAATTTGTAAAGATCTTGGACGTGACAAATCTGTGATGAGCCTTGGCTAGGTCGTGTGCGGGCCTTCACTGGGTTCTGGGTAGGCCATGTATCAGCTCTTGAAAGGCCGCCAGGTAAGCCTGAGGCAGGCATTGGATAGGCCGTCGGGCTGACCTTGGACAGGCCTGGGGGTTCGTGGGCAGGCATTGGGCAGGATCCGAGGGGAGCGGTGCTCTGGCGCCGCCTGGACCGCAGAAAAGAGACCCACCTTCTGCAGGCCCACGGCAACCTGGGGCTCCCCTTCACATTAGCTTGAGCTTGATGTTCTGCCTTCGCTGTGAGCGTCGCTCCATTTTCGATCCAAATTATTTGAAGTCCAGCTGTATGCGCTTGAGCTTGAACTTCCGCTCAACGCGCGGAAGCTTCGCTCCATTTTATAGTTCTCTTTTAGCTTGAGCTTGAACTTCCGCTCAACACGCGGAAGCTTCGCTCCATTGCCATAATTTGTGGGAATGCCGAGACATTGGGTTTGCTCGAGGTGGGCCTTGGACGCTCTGGGTCGTCTAGGCCTTGGATAGGCGTAGAGTGCGTGAGGGGTGTGCCGAAATCGGGCCCATTGAGCCGTCTTGAGAGGTACGTAGCTGTTTCTTATGTCTTGTTTCGCCGATCGGCGCGGGCCCCCGCTCCCTCCTCCCCAAAGACCAGATCTTGGCTGCTTAAAGCGGCTGCTTCAACCAGGTTGATTAAGCACTGGGGCCCGCCCCCCCTCCCCCCGGTGGACACACGAGCTGCTGCTGTACGTGTGTGAGTTGTTTTCTCGAGGCGCCCCCCTGGGAATGAAACAAAGGGTATGTAGGCAGCTGAAGTGGGATCATGCGGAATCCTATTTCGACCTGCGGCACTCTGTATGTTTCATGGTTGCACGCCGAGTGGAACACGTCCACCGCGTCGACAACGAACATACTTTTTCGCGTTGCATGCCGAGTGGAATTCGTCCACCGCGCCCGCAACAGCTCCTCTGCCACGTGGAATGTGATTCCATTGGTCCGCCAAAAAGGGTATGGAAAGGAAAGGGATTGAGAGGGTTTGCTCAGAGGAGAATGCAGGATTGAGGTCGACTGGGGCTCATGGCGTGCATCCGTGGGGGCATAGAGGGATGGTGCTGTTTGCTGATTGACCATGATTGATAGAAGTCTTTCTGCTCTCCGATGCTGCGAACCCTAGACCGTCGCCGCATCTTGCTAGAACCAAAGCGCGCGCAGCGCGCGCGTGGTTCTAGTATATATGTATATATATACACACGTACTCACGTATCAGCATAGTGCCAAGGCCTTACGGACAGTGCCGCCGACCTTGGACGAAGACCCCCACAA